AGTCTTGTATGGGACTGGCTTAACTACTAGCGAAGCGATTGGGCACACTAAGTTGTGGGTACCTCGGGTTGTATTGGGACAAACAATGTCGTGTAATGTATTGGTCCAGTGTGTGTGTGGACCTGGGTGGGACAAGGAGCCCGGCCCGGCGGAAATGTGTGTTCGCAAAAGTGTTGTTTGGCCCTTTTTTTCCTAGTGATCATCGTAGCTTCTTTGAATTTGAAATGCCCTGAAAGTCAGTTTATCTGATGTGAATTTGTATGGTAGACTCCTTCCAAACCTGTGGGATGCATGCCACATTATGAAACAGAAATTCATTCACTTTGTCGGAAGCTTGCCTGTCTAACGCTGGAAATTGCAAGTTTCGAGCATTGCTGACCTCGTTTTCAGAGTCACTCGGGAAATTGAGTTCATGTCCTTGTATCCCGGACTTACCATGAATATGAGCTTTGCATTTGGATTGATGTTGGCCATGCGCTCTGCTGTGAATGGAAGGCATGCAGGCACGGGACAAGCATCAAAGCACATCCACTGCAGCAAAGACAGCGGGCGACGCTGAACAAGGAGTTTACTTCGAGCAAGCAAAACTTGAACCATATTGGTGGCTGTGATGCATGTAGTTGATATGGTTCCATAGAGACTGGATAAACTGCAAGCCAGCACATAATCGTGTGTTCCAACCAAGCCTATCCATGCATACGATATTCTAAGCCGGATTTTATTCCTGCTCAGTGACAACAACTTTGTTATCTTCCTTTCGCGTGGCCAAGTGAGAGGCGATCACGCGGGGTTGAAGCACCTGAGGCGCTCGTTGCAGGCTGGCATGCAACCCAATTACCGCAGCTGTCCCTAAAGTCATACTTCCTCATTCAATCAAGGCTGCAAGAGTATCGCGCACTCCTAAAGTGTCAGCCAATCGTACTCATTGCGCAAAAGAATACACTCCCTGCTGCTGGGCGAAGATACACTGTAAAGGTTGAAGTCTGTTTGCTATGCACCCGTCAAGATGCAGAGCAAGTCAACCAGGACCACCAGTGTGAATTGGCGCCGTCCTTGCTTCCACACGCCCAGCCCCACCTTTTCCACTCCCAGGACAGCTTCCGCCCACCAGCGCCGAAAGACTGTGGGAAAGAAGCTGCGATAAAGCGTTTTGGAGTGGGCGTTGCTTCGGCCCAGCACCCCATTGAAGAAATGGGACTCTTTGCTGAGCGTGTCGTGGCACGGCGGGCCCACAATCCCGTCGATCGCCGGGTGCCTCCTCAGATGGTTGGCCAAACTCGTGGTGCCCGCTTTCTGCGATTCAAACAGGCGCCCCTTTCTGAATCAAACACAATTGGGTGGGTTTTTTGAGACATCTCAAACCGCACCATCGCCAGCCGGCAGGCGCACTGATGGACTGCGAGAAACGACGTTGGCTGCGCAGGGATTGATCTGCAGATCATGGAGGGTGTCGGTCGCCTGACCGCATGTGGAAAAGAGGTAGACCTTGATGCAATATTGTGGCTGCATTGCCATTGATGCAGCGTCGAGCAGCGCTACAGCAAGTGGCCATATGTCAATGATGACAACCGTTGATGTGTGCGCAAACGTTGCACCCATGCTGGCAAACTGCCCTTCCTGCATCACTGTTCGGCGCTGCATCGATGGTGCTGTGCACACGGCACCGCATCAACGCCCAGCATTTGGCAGATGCGAAAGACGCCACAGCGCTGCGGACAGCCGAACATCAGCACCCCAGCAGTGGGGCCCACCACGCGCACACCCGATATAAGATATACGATATGTGACATATGGCACATGGCATGTGATTATCAGGTATGATATATGATGCATGGGCGCACACCCAATTCCAAGGAGCTCGCTGGGGATCGGCAACAGCCTCAGGGGCAGTCGATCGACCTACCGGGAAGCCGACAATGAAGAAGTCGGGGGTGTACGGCCTGATGGGCAGCGTGAGGAACCGCTTCAGTACGTTGATGCAGTACATGGTCTCGAAGCCCAGCCTCAGGCAGGTCCCCGCCACCGGGCCATGGGAGGCCCAGATGTGCGGGATGAAGGGGCAGGCCCAGTAGAGGCGCCGGGCCAAAAGCAGGCTGGGCAGGACGGTCATCGTCAAGAGGCAGGCCAGCAGGTAGGCAAGGGCGTAGTAGAGGGCGATGAGGGGGAGCAGCGCCGGCATGAGCGCCTCGAAGCAGGTGATCGTCGCCATTGTGGGTCACCAACGTGGGGCGGTGCGCAGGGGCGCCGATCAAGTCGAGGGGCGGAGCGGGATTGGTACGAAAGTGCGCGGACGATTGATTGTGCTGAACAGGATCTCGCTCGCGTCGGCGCGCAATCTTCGGAGGGGGAGGCGTGGCCGGATGTGGGGGTCCAGCGAACAAGACGCGGTAGCGGGCGGTCCAGTGCTGGCGATCGGCTGATCAGTTGTCGGCCGCTCGGGCTGGGTCGACCGGAGGATGCGCGTCGTGGGCCGACGGCTCTAGACGAACCGCCTTCCAAGAGATGGGCGTACGGCGTTTTACAATCACCAGGATCGCTCAACATCCGAGGGCTGCCTTCATGCAGTTGTCTTGGACCCGCGGATTGGCATCAATAGGCAATCGGGCGATGCCAACGCTTCCTCGTCATCCAATGACGAGGAGGCCAACGAGTCGTGCAACTTGGGCACGTGCATTTCCCAGATGCATCGCGCCACCTTCAGGCATGTGGCGCGTCCAAACAGCGTTGATGTCGTTGTATAGTCCGATATGTTCTGAGGCAACTATCCCTGCAGCTGCCGGGAGACGCGGCATTTGGCGACGTATCACCATGTCTTTGCACCTTGCTAGCACACAATTCCGCAGATGGACTTTCATTGATGATGTTCAACTGAAACGGAGTTGGTCCTTGGGATTGTTCTGTGGTTTTGCAATGTATCTTCCTGACTGACTTTTTTGCACTTTAGCCCTGGGGATAATGCCCACAGATGTTTCAACCATTCAATCATGTAATTGTAGGATATCTCACTGTGATGCGATAAGTTCTCTCCTGAGCTCTCAGCAGTGAAGTGCAGCTCATGCCTGCAATGCAAGTGTTCGCGAGATAAAGAAGTTCTTCATGTTCTTCAAGCGCGCATCCATGTGGAGGAATTGCGCCTCATCGTGCTCCCACAAATGTGGCTTTCAGCTCACAATCCTGGGCGATCGTGGTGCAGGGTGGCACAGAAATCAGGCAATGCCACATCGGGATGCGTCGCTGCCTGATGTCTGCGCCACCTGGTGCCCCGTTGGCATGTTGACTCTCGGGACTGCCCGTCACCATTCCGCAGTTATCAACAGACGTTTGAAAACACGCTTCCTCTCTTTGGTTTCATTTCTTGCTGGACGTTTCGACGGACAGCCCAGGCATTCCGTCGCCAGACTTACTAGCTCCAAGTTACCAAACATTGGACGTTCGGCACAAACACCTGACTTCTTTAGCCTTTTTGGGGTCCGGCCTTCATGTACACGTATACGGTACGTGCTTTCCTATTATCTCCACGATGGACTACATGCGGCTGCAAGCCGCCATCTCTGACACCAGGCTTGTTATTTACGCCGTGAACATTGATCGCGTTTCCGTTATTACGCGTAAAACCGCCTCTAAAAACGCAAATATGCGCCGCTTACATAAGAACAATGCATACTGAATTATGGAGTCCGGGGAGTAGCAGGCAGACGCATTGGAATGGAGAGAAAAGAAATTTTGCTCCACGCCGTCGTTGGATTTGCCGAGGGCGAGGTGGACGCTGTGATGCATGCGCTCGAGGGGGCAGAATACTGATCATTGTACACGACTTTCATCGTGTAATATGGGTGTCTCAGCGAGCATTAAGAACGTAAATACAGCCGCGAAAATAGCCCATTCTGCAAATCTACGTTTTGCGCGTAAAACCGTGAACGTAAATACCGTGGGTATTTAAACGTTCCGCATCCAAAAATTTTGCCTTACGGTTTTTGCTCCTCAGTTTGGTTTTCAGAGCGTTACTTGCATTTTTTTACGTTGCTCCACTCAAATTTTATTAAAAGAGCGTTATTTATTTTATTGTTTTCTGCGCAGCAAAGGGCCGAGCGTTACGTCCCTATGCGGAAGGGAATGAAATCCCACATTATCAGGCCTGTCTGACACCATCGCACAGCACACGTGACTCAGCTTCAATTTCGACGCTCAACCTACTTGACTAAGGAAATCAACTTAAACACTTCGCTGAATCCGCGACTGCAACCAGTTATGAATTTAAGGCGAATAGTAGGCACATAGTGCAGGTACCGAAGAATAATGTTGTTTCCATCGATTCAGTTCAACACCCGACGAGGAGGCCATCATCAGCTATCCAACTGAACATCGATTGATCACTCGACCTGATGATTGCGTTGCCCCAGAAAGTTTCCTTACCTTGATGGCTGGCCACAGCCTTCCTATATTTTCCCTATTATACATTCTGCATCAGCTCCAGGCCTCTTAGTTACATTTACAGAACTATTCTTACGTTCACTTTTTTTTACGCGCCCAAGAGCAGAAACGGCTGTTCTTACGGCTATGTAGCTTTACGGCGCCTTGAGACACCCAGTTTACATGATGGAGTCGCAAACAATGACCAATCCCCCGCACCCTCGACCACCCACAACACAGCATCCACCTCGCCTTCGGCAATGGCAATGACTTCGTCGAACGAAAGGTCATTCTGCCTGCACCAGCGTGTCTGGTTGCCACTCCCCGGACTCCTTAGTCTATTTTGCTATATGTACAGTCGTTATGTGCACATGGCCTGTATGTACGCATTTTCACTCCTTTTTATGCCCAAAACGTAAGTGCTATTTTGATGCTCTGAACGTACATACACACTACATCTACACTGTAATTAACAAGCCTGATCAATGTGATTGCCTGTCACGTGTAAGTATGCAACGCCAGATGTCCCCAAAATACGTGAGTTTGGCTTTGCCTTCGCCCACTCGATGGCATTCCGGACTGCTGTTGCCTATCAGCTCGAGATAGCAATATAAATTGCACCGTCAGCCAGACTCTTGGGTTTCAGGTGTGCCGGCACTTTGTTTTTTCACGTCAGGGGTGCTGCAAAATTATCAAAGTCTTTTCGGGACCAACCGCCTAATGCCAGGATTTCTACGTGGTATTTTGAGGTGCAAAATTCAATTTTGAATTTATTATTGCAAACTCCCTATCTAGCATAAAATTATCGCTGCAAAGTCGTCAATTGTATCAGATATTATTAAGAAATAGCAGGTTGGATTGCCGTCGTGGCGCCTTGCAGCTCTGGATGTGGAACTCTGCAGGTGGCGATACCACCACGCAGAATGCAAACCATTGCAGCGATAAGAGAGTTAATGCCGCCCCTTGTTGAAGGCAAGTGGTTGGGCTTACCAACCCTCAAGAAAGGACAAAGGGCTGAATGAAGGGAAGCTGTTGGAACCTCATTGTCCAAGCTTGGGGGTAGTTTAACAGGCATTCTTTTATGGCACCACAACAGCATTGCATACAAAGGGGCACAGAAAGTAGCAGCAGAACGGGAATTCTGTCATGTAGTCAGAATTCCACACAACTCAGGCGCGTGCTGTATATGGTTGTCTCAATCCACTTTCCTGACTCCCCTCTACCAATTCTTCGCGTGCTTTTGTCCGCATGGGGAAATTCGACGTAGAGAATTGTGACACTATGACTGGAGAATTCTGACTTTCTGAACACACGTATCACTTTATAAATACCCTCCTTCAAAGAAACCATCCCGGGGTCTTGCATTGGCAACTGCCCTGGTGCAGTACTTTTTTTGTTGTTTTCTACTTATTTCGTTGTACTTACTATCTTGTACTTCCTCCGTCTGGAATTAAATGAAACAGTTTGTTGACTGACCATATTTTTATCATGTACTTTTTATTTTCCTTCAGAATTGTACCAGCGTATCTACTACGTGTTTAGTCAATGCTGTCAAAATTTTATCGACAGCAAATAAGATTCAGACATATGGTTGTACTTTGAATCCAAACGACTCAGCGCCAGAATTTGAACATTCGCAGTCAATCCCCCACCCCACCAAAACCTAGCGCCCCGGACACATGAAGGCCTGGTGCACGAGTGATGCCCCTTCCAGTGGTCTTCAAAGTAACAGAAGAGGGGAGTTGCCTCGGCGGTCGGGCTCTAGCCCAAAGATCGACACCCTTCGCAACTCACGATCGACAGAATTGGCACCTGTGCTTGCGTACCGCCATCGATGGACGCTCGAAATCCCCCCATCTTCCACAACAGCACACCGACACGCCTGGGATCCCCCACTGCCTAGCGGTCTCCTGGTGGCTAAATATTAGCCGTTGGATATTTGCACGCAACATAAGCTTTAGGTTCAGCACAGATCTCTGATTAGGTGCCTTCCTGATGCAAGCAAACCCTCTTTCCAAACAGGCTTCAACCCTGCCGAACATGACAATGGAGGGTTTGGATGCTCTACCAGAGACCCCACGTGTCGCTATGATGGCGTTCTTGCATCTTGCAATGGCACGGGCGAAGCTCAGTTGCAGCGGCACCCTTGAAAGCAGCGTGAACGGCGCACAAAGTGTTTCTCGCGGCACGTGCCCACCACAGCCAATTTCAACGATATTTTGGCTGCCGCGCAGCGAGGGCACGATCACATTCTCCCAAACCTTCCGTGGCGGTCTTAGCACCCATGGCGTCCTCGCCCATGGTGGGGACCCTTTCTGCAAACGCCGGGACTGCGAGGTTCGCAGATTTCTGGGTCTCCGATCCGGAGCTGCTGCCCTGATAAGGCCATCAAAACCACGGTGGCGATCAAGGATCGAATGGTACAGAACCCGGTTTTGTGATCTTCCCCCTCTGTTAAGAACGGTGTCGACCTGCCACCAAGACGGAAGCAACAAATATCCACTCTGGGATGCCCACCGTCAGTCGCAAGGCGACCGGGTCAAGGACCTGTTTTGGGGGCTGTTCGGCCAGGCCTTGAGAAACCTGGACTTTTTGACCTGAATCACAAGGGTTCAAAGTACTGCCACGTGGCCGGTACTTATCCATTGTGCACAAAAATTTGGCAGCATATAGCAAATGTGTAGACAGTACCTTGGTCCAATTTTGAAGGAAAACTTACAAGTTTGTGATATAAATATGGCCTCTTAAAAAAACTGTTTCATTTATTTCCGGACGGAGGAAGTACTTATTTTGTACTTGTGTTGTTTTCTACCTATTTTGTTGTTTTCTACTTCAAAATAATTTTTTGCAAGGGACGTGTCATGGGTTGTGGCTTGCAGGTTGGGAGAATTGCCTTTGTGCGTGTACTGTTCCGGTCTCGTGCAAGATCAAAGGATATTACATAATATGAGAATAATAATAAGAATATAATATTCGTTTCTTGGGAATAGCTCTAGAACCTCCATCCCAACAGCGCGAAGCCCGAGATGCAAAAGTAGCTGTTGCCGTTGAGCACCACTCCTCTATTTATCCTCAAGTGGGAATGAGGCGTTTTTAACCATTATTGCCACTGCACCTGGCAGCACGGCTGTTAGTTTATGGGGCCGCTGGGCTGAGGTGTGGCTGCCCAGGTTGATTTGTGCGCCTTATACTTACAAACACGCAAGATGTCCCATCACAGTTGACGTTCATGTCCTTCGTGGGCCTGTGGCCGGGAGGCACTAAGGCACCTGCGCCTGAATGGCCCTCACTCGTTGGCTGCCTCTAGGGGTGCTTGCACCGACAGCCATGGGACCCAGGGGCGCGTGGTTGCTGGGCTGCCGTGGAGCCCCGGGATGGATCCGGACACCAAATGTTGCGCAGTGGCCAATGCGGCAGCGCATCAGTGTCACCGCCAGCAGCGACGCCGAGAGAACGGCGAGTGCACCTGTGGCGCAGCTAAGTGAGTGGGACCGTAGAGGGGGCCACATTTGAGATGGCTGCAGTCATTTTGAAACCAACAACTTCGGGATGAGAGCCCTTGGTGGAACGCGTGTATGGGCAAGGCTGCCTTTGCCTTGCAGAAAGTTGGGGCTTCCAAATCAAAGACTGGAGGGGAACGATGACCGATACTTTATGAGAAACATGCTGCATGCATCAGCCGGAAAAGTGAGCTGCTGGCAACTGAACATACCCGACAAGGCAAGAAGAGTAAAGGGCCACTATGATATTTTCCCTTCCAATGCCACGCCTCTACGCCCTCTTGTCACACTAGTACTCCGGTGCTGGCACGTGTTGAATGGTCCCACTGTTGCACTGCTTCAGTTGCTCTTGCCCGTTCACCATTCGGGATTACCGAAAGCCATCAAAGTACATTCCTTGTGCCGCTCCCAGGACAGACTGCACAAGTGGGATCAGGAGATGAAAGTGCAGTTGACAAGGCACCACCTGGGTACCTAACACCACCTCAGGAGATTGCAGAGATAGGTGAGCAAAGAAAAATAGCAGAATATTGGACAGTTGGGATCGTTGCCAGTTCATTGCACTGATTCCGAATGGGGTCTGCGCCCACGTCAACCTTCATATGGGGATTGCGTGATCGCTGGCTTCGATCAATTTCTTGCAGTCCATGGTGCTCATTTCCACCACGATCATCTTCTGATGGGCTGATGCACCTGCACTATTCTGGCTTCCTACATGAAGCCACAGACATGTGGACCTTGCTCACTGCTGGAGCTTTGTTGGTGTACACAGTTGACATCCCATCAGTACCATTACTGTCCCTCTCGCCAGATCGGAAGAAGGTGAGGATTTTCTTGCTGGAGAACACTTGCATTTTCTGCATATTGTTTGTTCAGAAATGCTTGCTGACTGGAATTTCAGGACTGGAGAAGCTGTTGCACATAGCAGGGCAGGAAACTTGGGAAGGCTGCGGAATTCGCCCTGTAGTGCGTTAAGCATCCGACCTTCATACTTTCGCCGGACTTCCGGCAGGCCGTTTCAGAGTTGCTGGCAGGTTCTTGTTGCCGCTTGCTGCAAGTGTTTAAAGGCAATTGTGCTCCATTTCCAACTGGCTCGATGTAATTTGGCCACTCACTTTTACCAAGCCAAACCGATGGTTGCGACATTTACATTCACAAATGTGGGAGAGAGGTATGGGACTGTACAAATTTGCAGCTGGGCCAAGGGGTCCTTGGTACAATCCAATTCCGAAGCACTAGCAATATGTTGTCCGTTGGGGGAAGGCACAAGGCCAACGTCCTTCCGAATGAGAGTTCAATGTGTACTGAATAGTCCTTTTCATGAAGTATTACAGACCATGCTGTAATAAGTCAAATGCTATGCTCTTGTCAGGTTTGAGGATTGATCCACAGAGTTTCAGCAGAAGCCGTGCATCTTATTATACAGGTAAGCAGAAGGGAGCTGGTGATGCTATTGATTTGATATTATCACAATGCTTCCTGAAATGCTTGGTGCCTGCTCTTCTTTTCTCTAACAACACTATTATGAAAAGAAGTGCATGTTCTGGCGATGAGGTTGTGCCACAATGGGGAAGTGTGCTTACAAGATTGAATTCTTTTACTTCCAGACTTGGCTTTTGTGGATGGTGATCAAGTGGTCCCAGCCCCTGAAGATGTCCAAACCCCGGTGACGGGCATTCCCAAGGGGATGCTGATCAATGGGGTGTCATTCTCAAACAAGGGGACTCGACTTGCCTTCACATTGAGAAGTCCAGGAGGGCCTGACACGATGGCCACACTTGGACCAAGGGGTGCCCGCCAGCTCTGGGTTGCAGATGTGGACACGTGCAGAGCCCATCCTGTCTCCACAGAGCCCTGCAGCCTCAACACCATTTTTCAAGAGTATTAATTTGGGTGCAGCTTATTTTCATAAAGTGTTTGCTTGCTGGGTTATCCACAGATTCTGCTACTTTGTTGTAATTTTGTTTGAAATTAGCAGCAGCCATGGCTGTTGTCTATGCAGAAGTGAGCTGCACAGTGAAACTACTCCTTTCAGAACCGATAAAAATCTGATTGATTTGTTCCCTGTCCATTTGTGTGCGTTTGAATCATAATCTCCCTGCGTGCTTCTGTGTGCATCTGAAATTTGGCTTAAATTTGAATCAACTGTTGTGCGTGCTATGACTCTCTGAACAAAGGAACTATCAGTCGACCTCTCCATGACCTGTTTGTTCAAAAGAGCTACACTTATCTTTGGCTTGCTTGCAGTAAATTTGTTGCTGGTTTGGATGGCATGGATTCCTTAGTTGCCCTGATCTCAGGCATGCACAACCATGTGTGTGTGTGTGTGTGAAAATATGTTGAGTGTGTGCAGACTCAACGCATCATGTGCTTCAATGTTTTGCAGCAAGATTGAACAGATGGTTATGATGCTGCGTAGACTGCACAGAGAGCTTGCGCATGTAATGCAGTTGCTTTGCTTGGATGCTCTCGGCACACGATTGCAACAAACTGCACTGAATTCCAGAACAGTGCGCTGCAATTTGAAAGGGCTGAATGAGTTCAGAAGTCAAGCAGTCTTCTGCTGCTTTTGGAAGTGCCCTCAAGGTGGTTGAGTAGCTGAATTTTTGTGGGTGCTATATGCAGCTACCTCTGGCTGGATGAGGACACACTTGTGGCTTTCAAAGTCCCTGATGGCCTGGGCGATCCTCCTGCACGGCCTATGGTGCCCTCTGGTCCAGTTGTCCAGGACAACAGCACTGGAAAGCAGTCACAAACGAGGACATACCAAGACCTGCTGAAGGTACGAACAGTGCAGTGGAAACAGATTTTAAGGAGGGCTCCGTACCGTGCCAACAGTGCCACCTGGGGGCGTGGCATGGATGAAAAGTGCTTCAGCAGTGTGCCACTGGTGGACCAGAGGAACTGCACATATCGTGAGCCTATTCCATGCAGAACAGACGACAGGGAGAATAATTTGTTGTGCTGCTTGTTTGTGGTAGCAGAATTTTGCACCATTCCAGCATAGATTGGACCACTATTGTTGTGACTTGACCTTTGCAACACAGAGGCAACATCAACGACTTGGTAAATTCTTCTTGTGCAGCACAAGCTTCAGGTTGGTTTGGTGGATGTAGCCAATCATTTTTTGTTCAATTACCTTGGCATTTTTGCTGCAAGGCAATTTGATTGCTTCATCACCTTTGCAAAATATCAACCTTATCATGGTAGTAGTGTTGCCCAGTAAGGGGACCTGCAGTATCTACTGAAAGCTGATGACAAGAATCTCTGAAGCCCCATACCTAGCGACACTCATGGTTTTGATGATATTTTGGCAGTGCTGTAGGTCTTTTCTGGAGAGCATTCCTCTGAGTAAAGAGCTGAAAAAGTCCACAAGCGCATGAAAACTTGGCGCATTTTTGTGCGTGTATTGCACTAGCAAAGTTGGTAACACATAGTCGTTTCAAGAGAGCCTTGTTGTGCTGTTGTGATGTCAAGCATGGAGGACACGCCCTTGTCAATCAGTACTGTTTGATTGTTAGTCTATGACCTAATCTGGATAGAAGCATCATTAATCTTGTGGCTGCTCACAGGATCATCATGATGAGGAGCAGTTTGAATATTACACCACTTCCCAACTGGTGGTAATTGATGCACGGTCTGGGGAGATTCTGGCCAAGGCAGCACCAAGGATGTACACGGGGTATGTAAAATTGGGTTGTTCCAGATCATGCACTTCAGTCCATGTGGTACTAGCCAGTTGCTGCAGTTTGAATGGGGTCATCTCTAATCGCATATGTGCTGTGTTGTGCAGTGCTGTTGGATCTCCAGACTCACGATTTCTGCTTGTTTCTTGGATGGATCGCCCGTTCTCATATGAAACTCCATGTGGCCGCTTTCCAAAGAAGGTAGGAGGCAATTTGCTGTATCTCATCTCTGTGCTCCAATGGTACCCTATGTTGATGCTTGGGTAGTGTTCATTGGAACCCTGAAAGGCCAGGTCTTTCCAGTATTAGCCTGACTTTCTTTTGTGCTCTTTTCTCTTTTTCAGGTGGAGCTTTGGGACAGGTGGGAAAGCTTGTGGAGTCCATGTTCATGGCAAAGAGTGGCCGTCTGCAGCTGATGCAAAAAGGATTGCCTGAGACATACACCAACGTTCTGGGATGTGACAGTCATGTGGACACTTAGTTATTGGCAACTAGTGCACCTATGGGCAGTTATCTGTCCATGTCGGCCCATTGAATCAGAGTGTATTTGGCTGAGCTGGAAAATGGGCAGCTGAGCTGTGTTGGACAGATAGCATTGTCAAGTCTGCCCAGCTAATTTGTCTAAGCTGCTTAGAGCTCTGTGAAGGCTGTACATTGATGGCTACTGAATGCAGGATCCAGGACCTGTACAATGTTCATGTTGCTGGTCCATTCTGGTCCATGCTGCAGGAACGTGTAGTGATGGCCGTTAAGCCATTGCTCTCTTTCCGTTGCATCCAGGAACCTCAACTCCGTGATGGAGGTGGCAAACCTCCCTCTAGCCGAAGACATTCCCATAGCTTTTGACAGCTGCAGAAAGGGCCCACGGGCAGTCAGGTGGCGGTCCGATGCAGACTCCCAGATATGCTGGATAGAGGCACAGGTGACCCAGGAAGACATCCCACTCACGCATCTGCACTACTCATCAATACATGAACACTCTTGTGTGCTCAGAGTATGTTGGATTAGTCGTCGTTTACAGGGAACTGTGGTCATGGGTGGTGCAATATGTCCACGATGGTGGAAGTGTTGTCAACAGCCACTCCATGGGGATAATATTGCTGTGTTGCAGATCTTGCTATTCGCATGTTGGTGCTTGAAGTGTTCAGAAGCATGGCTTTTATCAAAATGTAGTTGGATAGATTTTGGGTGAGTTGAAGTTCCGCAAAGATGGATACATGCAACGGAATGTCTTGAAATATGCAGCCAACACGCATCATGCAGTCAGTGTTATCCGAGTGTGCATTCTTGGGTGGCTGCCAAATAGCATGGGGCTGTGCAGCAGGTGCCAATGGGTGGTTGCTCGCGTTGCAGCTACTCAGTATCGCCACGTCCCATGAAGGTGCAATTGTGCTGTGCACAGGACGGAGGCGATCCAGCAGTGGAGTGTTCTCCCAGGGATATAGTCTACACTCTTGAGGCAGATGCGGCTTACAATGGCACTGCACCACAGGAACTGGCTCGCACAGATTTTCGATGTTCTGGTGTAACATTCTGTGATGGCGACCTTGCACTGGTGTATGAGGCATGGTGGAAGACCAGGAGGAGGTTTGTGCTGGCACCTTGCGGGTTCCTGGACTTGCAGCTTGGTTTGCATTCCCCTGTCTGCTCTCCTTTTGGCAGATGCATGCGTGCAGGTTACTGATTAAGTTGTGTGGGTCACAGTATTGTAAAAGTCATCGCACCTGATAGGAGGTCTGAGGAGCCAAGAGTGCTGTTTGACAGGTGCGATGTGGCCTCTGTCATGAATTGAAACACTTGTGGATTTGGTTTCAAAGTGGACCTGTGGAAACTGGATTCGGACGGATTTGGTGTGTGTGTGGACTAGTGCCAATAATTGCATTGAAGATGCAACGAGAATGCTTTGCCACTGTTCAGCGAACACAGTCCATGAATTTGCTTTATGGCCCTGGAAGTGGCTAGGTGCTATTCTGCTGTTCTTGTTGGATGGAAGAAGAATTTGACATCGTTTTCTGCTTTTGGTGTAGAAATTATGAAGATGTATACAACGACCCAGGCTCCCCAATGTCACGCCGAACAAGCAATGGTTCCTCGGTTCTTGCCAAGATTGATGGAGAAAGGAAACTCTTGATGCAGGGTGGGTGGCTGCCACATATGTCATTTGTATGGTTCACCTTTGTGTTACAGACATCTGTGCCATCGTTATCTCGGTTTCAAGTGATGCATTTGTAGGTTTTCCCTGTGTTATTCCCTGCACACAATGTAAACGATTCCTTCAGTTGTGTGACTTATTGCTGGGCGCACATTGCTTTCAAGATGCAAGATGAACCCAAGGTTGACAGAGCATTTGTGCGTTGTTAGCAACTGTCCCGCTGCTTCTTGTGTTTCAGGCTCTGGTGCCTCTGAGAAGGGGAACAAGCCATTTTTGGACGTCTTAGATGTGGACAGTGGTGCCACACAACGTATATGGGAAAGCTCGCCTCCTCATTTCGAGTACGTGTCCAGCATTCTCAACGATGAAGATGACCGGACTATAGCGCTGGATGGTCTGCAAGTCCTGCTGTCACGGGAATCTGTCCAGGAAGTACCTCAATACATCGCCAAAACGTTTCACACTGGTGCACCGAGCACTGAAAAGCCGATGACCAAATTTCCCCACCCTTATCCACAGGTAAGGAGGTTTTCTTTGTGGAGTTGAGGTGACAGTTCTGTTGCTACAGCGCTGTGGATTGCCATAGAGAATAATGTACATCAGCTGGCAAAACATCATTACCTGCATCGTGTCACCTGCTGTGGCTATGATCAACACACACTGTTGACCAGTGGGCTGCCGATATGGATGAAATTTTCCACGCCCAGGTTACATGCCGGTCCTACCATGGAGTGCTGGGACTATGATATTCACCACTGGGCTGGCAGTCATTGCAATCCTTAGTTCATGGAACAGTCACTGTGAAGATCATTGCATTAGGTAGGACAGCTCTGGGCGAAGTTGATGTTCTGACACTTGCAGATTTTTAAGTGTGCTGTGCCCATAGCACAGTGTTTGCCTCTAATTTTCAGCAGCGTCACAAGGACAACTGCACATGGGGAATTGCTGTGTGTACAAATGCGGACAGGCTAATGTTGAAAGTGGGTTAGGGGCTTTTGAACTGTGGCGGTGCAGATGAAGGACATACAGAAAGAGATTATTCGCTACAAGCGGGCAGATGGTGTTGTGCTGACGGCCACTCTTTACCTTCCTGTTGGCTATGACAAAGACGTTGATGGGCCATTGAAATGCTTGATGTGGGCATATCCACGGGAGTTCAAATCGAAGGTATGAAGCTGTACAATCTACTTGTACAGCGTGTGCTGCGGTCAGCAGGTGGAAGGGTGTATGATACCAGCCAGGGCCTCTGGAATGGAATCTATCGTTGCTTGACAGTGTAACTGGCGTCCAGACTGCGTCGCCCCACCCATGATCGACGTTTGGGCACTCATGGCGAAGTTTCCATACCACAAGGCAGTATTCTTAGGCCGCCTGAGAACGGTGGTTAAAAAACCAGCGTGAATTTATGGGAAATATTTCCAGCGTTCAAGATCATTCCCCATATTCTTTGACACTGATAAACCAGCACTGTGCCTGCTAACATGGGGCAGCACACATGTGTTCCATTCACTTTGTCCTTAGCACCTGGAGGCTGTTTTTCTCAGCTTCGCTATTGTGTGGATAGTACGCTCGGTGCAACAAACGGCCATGTAGTACATGGTGACTGCAATGGAAGCGTGTAAGATATGCACATGGCCTTGTGTTGTTGGCATCGCCAATCGCTCGCGACCCTTGTGAAATTTATCTTCTTTTGCTGGCGTGATGTAGGATGCAGCTGGTCAGTTGAGGCGCTCCCCATACGAATTCTCCAGCATAGGCTCCACTGCACCACTGTTGTGGCTGGCAAGAAAATATGCAGTCTTGGATGGACCTACATTCCCAATTGTCGCCGAGGGTGATGAAGAACCCAATGACACATATGTCGAGCAGCTGACAGGTGATGATATCGTAGCAGTTTGTTTGCCGCCTGTTTGCTGTGCCCATCTGCAATTATATCTGCAATTACGTTGCCACCAGTCAGCAAATGTATTGCCATGATCTAAGCTGTGGCTGCCCTGTGAATGGTCTTCGAGATTGGAAGCTTCTGCTTGCGTTCACATGCGTAGCTGGTGTTTTACAGCCAGTGCAGAGGCAGCGGTTAAAGAGGTGGTGAGGAGGGGCGTCGTGGATGAGAAGAACATCGCAGTCGGTGGCCATTCGTATGGGGCGTTCATGGCCGCCAACCTTCTGGCTCACTGCCCACATCTGTTTGCATGTGGCATAGCAAAGTCGGGAGCCTACAACCGAACTCTTACACCATTCAGCTTTCAGGCGGAACAGAGAACTCTGTGGGAGACACCTGATGTCTACATCCAGATGTCGCCATTCATGATGGCAGACAAGATAAAGAAGCCTCTGCTCTTGATTCACGGGCAAGACGACAACAACCCAGGTGAATTTGGTCCCTGTCTGAGTATGCGTCCTTGTGGCAACAACAAACTTGTCCCAGACGATATACCTGGTCTACTGCTAGCGGTTGCACCAGCTCCAACATTATTGTGGTGGCTCTATGGCATTGCCGTGGCATGATTCCTCACACGGCAGTCTTGGGCTAAGCCACAGGCATGCCGTTGCACCTGAAGCAGGGCAGTTGTCTGAGCTATAAGCATTGTTGTTGTTTGGCCCTGCTGTGACAACTTGTAATCCATCCCGTTGTCTCCCCCATGCTCTCTGCTTCATGTCGAAGGGGAATTTCAACGCTTATTGATAGGCTTGCTTGTAAATGGCGTGTCATTGCCTGACAAATGAATTGATGCCATGCAGGGACATTTCCCATGCAGAGCGAACGTTTCTACCAGGCCCTGAAAGGCCACGGAGCCCAATGCCGACTGGTGTTGCTTCCGCATGAGAGCCACGGGTACCAAGCAAAGGAATCAATCATGCACACACTCTATGAAATGGACAGATGGCTGGAGCTCCACTGCAATAACGAATAGAATGGCCTGCGGTGGGCAGGCATGAAAGCAGCCTCCTCAATGACTCAAATTTGATTGCTGTGGGGAGTACTGAAAAAGACTTTTATGTGTTGGTGAGGTGGGATTGACACGGCGGTACATTACCAGGTGTCACCAAATTCTTTAATCGAATATTTGAGCGTGGATATAACTTCGCATATTCGGACGATGGACTTTGCCGAACGTGGTGTTGCTGTTCCCGCCCTCCCAACGCCATGAAAGGCGTGCACCGCGGAAATGTCTTTGTTGCAAACCCATGCCCGCTGTCAAGAAGCGCCTGCCCAGGCGTTGCGATATTTGATGTTTTGGTTCAATGTGGTTACAGTGCAGATATGCAGGTGATTTATGGAACGTAATTGTGCTGTTGAGCACTGAGCGATGCCAGAACAAGCATGGAAACTGCATAGTCGTATTGCATTCACCACTTTTGGGAACCGATCTTGGTCTGTTCAAAAGGCACACCCGACTTGGCCTAACTTAGCAAGCATCTTAATTGTAGATGCCATGTATAGACTCCAAAGCCTGTGCATACATGGGTACGGATAGAGTTGCTCTCTGATTTTATTCTTCAGTTCCCGTTGTCGCTGGCGGAACAAGTCCTGAACACCGATACAGTAGAGGCTGGGAATCGCATTTTACCTCAGACATATCGGATCCAGGGATTTCTGCCACAGAACTCATTGCCTGTGGCGTTGTTCGCCACTGAGCACCTCACTTCTTCGTGCAGACAAGTCTGTTTCGCTTGGCCTACGACGGAAGAGGACAGAGAGGAAGAACGCTGCAAGTGGGTCGCCAGCGCCTGCACCACATTGTCCTGATAGCCACATGTTCCAGCTCAGTTCTCGGTGGAAGCGTGATACCCACAGCTTCTGCGCACAGTGCGTTGCCCACGAAATGTACACATCTTCCCTGCATCCGTGTCTATTCCTCTATCTGCAGAGAAGTGCGTTAAAAACGATAGTCGTATTCCCACACCTGCAGCTCAATTGCTTCCACAACATGGTGCGTGTGATGAGGGGCGCTGTGCGCTCCTGCCAGACTGGTCTCCGTGTTGCCACCCACCCACATGCTCGCACTTGACAAAGATATTCCGATCCAGTCGGTGTATTTCACCCTGATCGATGCACCACACAATGGCCTGCATTCATTCTGTCCACTTCTACATCGGAGGAAATCGACTGTTGCTCAGAGTATGAACAACAGGGCGCCGGACACAAGGCACAGTCGTTAGTGGCCTATCTCGTAGCAAGACAACAGGGGCCTTTGCACGCGCTGGGGGTCTCGTGCCCAGCTGGATTCTTCCCATCTGCGCTCAGCGGCGCTGCAAAGCCCAGCAAGTGAGCAGGAACGCTGCACAAGTTTGCAGGGTGCTGCGGCCAAGAGCCCAGCTGGATTCTTCCCATCTGCGCTCAGCGGCGCTGCAAAGCCCAGCAAGTGAGCAGGAACGCTGCACAAGTTTGCAGGGTGCTGCGGCCAAGAGCCGGCCCGCCGTGTTTTCTTCTGTATGGACTTTTCCCCTCCAAACAAGTTCCACGAGCAACAATTTGCATGGGCAAGCGAAGGCACGCCATCCATGCCCATGGCGAAGGGAGCCCTCTGAAGAATGGCGCCCTCTGGCCTGCCGGTTCGTCCAACCGAAGTGCAGCGGGGTGTGGTCGAGCCATCAGAAATTGATGTCATTGTTGAAAGGGGGAGGAAAGGGGAAGCGCAGATGATGTGATCCGGATGTGGAGAAGAGATACGGGAGGGTGGCCGAGAGGGGAGGAGGCTGGATGGGGAACGACCAAGAGAGGAACAAATTGAAGAATACGAGCACATGGCAGCATGGAGGAATGCGTGGAGTCTAGTGGATGCGCGTCGAATAGAAGCATGGAAGTGGCTAGAGACGCGACCCAAGGACCCAATCGAACATGGGGACACTTTGATTGCATTGACAACATTGCTGCGTTGTGATATGTGGACAATTGCCCTGCAGCGCATACGGCAACCCATGGCTGCCGTACGTGGTGCCACAGTGCGGAACACGGGTCACAATGCAACGAGCCAAAGGCTCAACAGCGCTGCTTGCAAGCACTGCATGTGCCGCCTTTCTTCTGGCAATGGGGAACGGTGCTCTCAGTCTCCACACAATGTCTACAGAGGACTGGAAGTCAGCAGTCCTGTTGCAAAACAAGGATTCGCCTTCCAGCCCTAGTCTCAATCGCACCTGCCCCAATTCAAAGCACAAAAAATCAGCAACCGCAACAATATCACACACAAATAGTTCTTTCAGCAAAGAGCGCTGGCGGTGCGTTCGTGATGAAATCGGCCCACAGATTCCCCTGCCAGATTATTGTCGGCAAAGCTAAGAAAATACCCAAGATCCTGACGCCCCAAAGAATGGACACAAAAAAGGAATGTTGCCCTAGACAGCCCTGCACGATGACTCCCTTCTGGGCAGAGTCTTCACTCACACTAACTAAGAAAGAATAAAAGTGGACGCAAAAAATCCCCACGCAATGAAGCAGACGACGTTTGCAAGAATCAAATACGAATTCGATGCACGTTCTCCTCCTTGTGCTGCCATCATGCATCCCAACAGCCGTGCCCCGGACCTGGCCAATGTAGGTTGCAGCAGGTGCCGATGTCCAGCACTTCCATGGCAATGAGTTTCACAGCAACCGCTCTACCGATTTGCAACGATCAAGCAGCGAGCGTCATAAAATCCCCACAGCCGTCGCATTACTCTGGGAACGCAACTAAGACAGCCAACACAGCGCGTCAGGCAGTCCCACGTCAACACCGTTGAAGAAGGTGCTCAGCACCAGCGATTCGCCGTCCAACCCAGGTGGTGTCCCTGCCAGCCTCGTTAGGCTTGGTTGGCACCTGCATCATGGCATTCGCTGTCGTGACTGCCATCCCCATCCAAGTTGCAAAGGAGTGGAGAGGAGATTTCAGGTAGGAGGTCCATCCCCAGTGCCAGTCTCCCTGCGGTCCCTGAAAGGGAACGGCGAATAGTCGTGAAGCTCTGCCTACCCCTCTCGTCGATGTGGGGGTCCAACACACTCTGACACTCCACCAGCTCTCTTCTAGACACCATGCCCTTCAGGGTGTGGTGGCCCTCCATGACAGGCAGGTACTTGACACCTGTGGTGTTGTACAGCTTGAACACTGTGGTGAGTGGCATCGTGGTGGGGATGACAATTGGTGCAGCCTGAATAATGGAAGTGAGATCGACCAGGTCCTCCTCCTCCCGTCCAGCCAGTAGTCGCTGTGCATCCTTGGCTTCCACCATCCCAAGAAAATCTGCAGTTTGGTGCTGACCTGGCTCTCCTCCCCTCTTCACCACAGGGAAGGCACCACAGGCATGCCTGTCCAGAGCTTGTCGCACTGCAGCAACTTCTTCCATGGGTTCAAATATACTCAAGTCCTGCTGGCGTGTCATGACGTCCTTTGCCTGGAAGCCTTTTCGTCGAATGGTCGACTCAGGGTGCGAACCAACAAGTGGGATGCCCATGATCATGCAGAGATGATACAAAATAGAGCCATTAAACCTATCCCCAATTCCTTTAGCAAACACCATGGCCAGCATCAGCAGCGGTAGTTGCTTCTCGGCACTGAGAAGTTCCAGCAGTATGACACAGAAGCTCACAGCAAATCGAAACATGCCGCTCAGCACAGAGGCAGCACCCAAGAATGCATATAATCCGAAATCGACCTCAGGCAGCCCAGCATAACTGAGGACATGGGCAAAGAGCCGCCCAAAGCTCGCACCTGCACAAACAAAATGATGATATTCAACAAAATGGCTTGTGGTTGGCAAGCATGTAGACACAGTACATCCAGAGGCCATCCATGCAGTACACTTGTTGGAATGCAGAGATACTCCCACCACCACTCACCAAATATGAGACTGGGTGTGAACAGTCCTGTTGGGAGTGCAGAACCATATGTCACACTGGCCAAAAAGAAATAGAAGGCTGTGAATAGCAGTGTTGAGAGCGCGGAGAAGGAGAAGCTCTCTGCAGTGAACAGCGAATGTAAGGTGTAGCCCTGCGAGTTGAACATGAGTGCAGCAAGGTCGTTGTAGTTCCCTTCATCGCACTGGTACATCGCAAATCTATTCAACCTGCACATCCAGGCACAGGAGAATGGAGTCACACCAGATCGAGGTATTGGCAGCGCAAAAGGCTGATTAAAGCCTAGATTACAAGTGTGTGGCTCTTTGACGCGACATTCAGTTGGGTACATAGTACACTGCATGCCAATACTGTGAATGTGTGAATGTGGTACCTTGGGTCGCTTGACGATGGGAAACGTCACACGGATTCCCCTGAACGCCAAAAATATGGTGCCACATCGGGCACGATCGCGCATGTGGTGTCTCACAACCCAAGAAACCTGTAGGATATTCCTACCCTTCATAAAGTACCAAGATCGTTGTTTTGCAGTTGATGCAAGCGTTGCTGATCAAGCCCATGCGGCACTCAACATCAGCAAGACACTACAATATACAAAGGTGGCTGTTGGATAGCGGCCCCATGAACAACTGAATGCAACGAAATGTTTCAACACAAGGACATCGCAAGGAGCAAAGTCATGCCTGGCATACAATGGGGAAAACTGGTGAAAAGCTGACACAAAGTTCGGTATCAAGTGGTTGCATGTTCAAGCACTGAGTTCCCAAGCTAACTGGCATAGTGCTCCATGCAGCAGCAAAGTTCACCTCGCACCTTTCGGACCCTGAAAAGCACTGCCCTTCAACTTCTGGGCAAGGGATGCATCTACCAAGCTTGGGAAGAATGAGGGCCAAAGAAGAGGTTGCTGCAAGGGGGAACGAGGCAAAAACAACATAGTCAGACCCCAGTGTGCTCTTGCCCCCTTCATGCTTCTTCCTGCCCAGTACTGAAGACCAAAGCAAGGGGTCAAGTTTCCTCACCTACAGATATGATGGCGACTTCATGGATGCGGGCCCATCTGTTGTTCAAGATTCGAGTCCTCTTGGCTCCAAAGTATGTAGTGATGATAGTGAACATGCTACCAAGCAAGCCCCCACAGATCCCTAATATGGCAACCAACGGCAGTTGATCATAAGGGGACTGAAAGGAGACTTCGTAAAACATGAGCGATCCCCAGTTGAGAAAGTCGCGATCGCCAGTGCAGAGCCTGGTGAGAGAGCGCACAACCCAGGCAGTGACTGCACAGGCATACAGGCACCGCCATGTGAGCTCTGCTCTCCACCTCGTTGACATCTCGAGAGCAAACAACATTCCTGCATCAATTCACAGGCAGAAGTCACAACCTGCAGCACTTACCCATGCCCTGGTCTTGTCCACAGTCGGCTGACCACATTAAGCAATGAGAACAAGTTGACAGCAAAATTACACTCATTATACTCATTGAGGTCACACCCAGCCAAAAGTGTAGGCTGCACAACAGCCATATGGACCATAGTCTGTTTGCGCCTCTGTTTCACTGCGATGCAGTCATTGGCCCTCCTTTACACACTCTTCATCGCCAGCCCGTTACTTTAACACGCCAACAACGCATCGGGCCTCGGTATTCTTTGGCCTTCCACACATTCCATTGCACCGCGGAAAGTGCAGAGGCTCGCGCATTCGAGTTCAACTGCTGACGTCGATTTGCAATCTGTCTTGTAGGAAAAAAGCCAAAACATCATGGCGTCTGTGGGATGCTCCCGAAACGTCAGGCCCGCTGCTCGACGACAGGCAACGCTCCAGCCCCATCCGTGCCTCAATCCAGCCCTCGACAAGCTGGGAGAGCGAATACGCGAAACAAGCTCCCACACCGTGACGTCAGCTACCTGCCAGGCCGCGAACCCTGGGGGGCTATAGTGGGGCAATTGTCGCCCGAGGAGGCCCGGCGTATCGATTGCACCCTTTGAAGGGAACCCCTTACCCCCAATCGGCGCCTTGAAGCCGGCAGCGAGGCCAGCGGCAGCGCCGCAAGCCACCAGATCGCGCATGTGCATCTCGGCCATGAAGGGCTCTTTCTCTTTCGCCTGCTTCAGGCGCCGGAAAATGGACGTTCGCCCCAGGAAGTGGGCAATGATGGACCCGATATGAAGCAGCGGCCCTTCCTTGCCGATGGCCAGCCCCCCCGCGACTGCCAGAATGCTGGCAATCGTCTTCACGACAGCCGTGGGCAGCGTGAAGAAATCCGGGGCGTCCACACCGTTCAGGTACCCGTAAATCTGTGATAAAAAGGCACCATCAACACCAACACCGACAATAACATAAACTGGCAACACCGATGCTTGCAACAACATTAACCCACTGCACTCTCCGGCAGCGCACAAGCTCCGTCTTGCCACGCCCCACCTGAGGGATTCCCGATCCCGCTGCGGGCTTGGACACGAACATCACGAGGGCGCCGCCCACCAGCGCGCACGCCAAGTTGAAGACCACGTACAGCGCGCTCACTCGCGCCGGCGTCGGCTCGTCAAGGATCCATGCCACCAGCAGCGACCGCGCGAGCAGGATGCCCGAGACGCCGAAGGACACGATGAAGGCGACGACCCCGGTCAGCAGGCCGATGAGAGAGAGGAACACCCAGGTGAGGGCGGTGCCCCAGCGGGGGAGGTAGAGTCCCATGGCTATCACCGCGGCAGAGGGCCCTGCTGTCGGCAGCGAGCCACGGTGACGAAGGCCGACGGCCTGCGGCGCCCCAGCCGGAAACAGGCTGCCCGCTGGGGGCTAGGGGCGGATGGGTGGTGCAGGGCTGGCTCTGCTTCTGGGCACGTCACACGAAGCTCGGTCACACGCCATCCGGCCGCCTGCCCGACTCGCAGTGCGACGCGTGTCGCCGGTCAGCGGCTTCCCTGTGCACCGCCACTGTCCACCCCAATGCCGTTTGTCTTCCAAAGATGAATCGTAAGATAAATGCTTCGTTTCGCACTGCTGATCACGCCAGGTTTGATGCCTGAAGGGCGTCAAGGATTCTTGTCCATCGCCACGTGTTGGATGACCCAACGCCATCCAGCATCCATACCGGTACTGCTCGGCGAGTTATGACCTGATACAGTTACGTTGTGGGTCATGCAGATGGAAAGACAGATGGGCAAGGCCTGAGGGAACAACGGCCAAGAACTGTGAAATGCACGGTTCCACGCAATTTCTCCAGAGCACATCTTGAGAAAAACTATCATTTTCATTTGTGCATCTGTTTCGGGACAGCAGCCTGAAGCCAGCCACACAATTGCCACAATAGCCACAAGCATTCCTGTGAAGTTCACAGATCCACCAATCTGTGGATGTACTCCATCCCCGGTGTCCTGTCCGAACCACCTAATAACAATCAAAAAGTCCACAGATGATCAACTCCTTGATTCACAGTTCTTCCTCCAGCATCCTCATGTACTTGTCTACTCCAACTTGTGCTGTTACTCCTGGTGCAAGCGTCAAAGGCCTCTCGTCTGGCCAATCCTGTGCCACAGATGGACCATGGGGCCGCACCTCACGTGGAGGCTGTTCACCGTGTTGTTGCCCACCAGGCCCTTGCTGCTGCTGTGCCTGCTTCCTCTTGCCCTTCTTAACCTGTGCCTTCAAGCCATTGCCACAAGGCACCTTTTGACGACACTTTGACTGCCCTCTCAAGGGAGGAAATGTATGAGGCACACAAGTAAAACCGCTGCGTGGTACCCACTGAGGTGGCACAAAAGGGGAAATCTCTGCATCTGTGCTGCCGCTCTGTTCGTGCGCCTTGTGCAAATCGTAGATGATGGTGCTCGATACCAGTGGTACATTGATGGGCAAGGGTGCAAGAGCACTACCAGCACTCTGATTACTCGGAACTGCCTTGAAGCAACACAATGATGAGTCCCTGTGTCCATGGGTCAGCAAATAACTTCCAGAATCCAGGGTCTTCAGGTGGTCAAGAAGCCCGCGCAAATTCTGCAGTGCACAGTTCCTCTGAAATGACAAACACAGGACGGACATCAGGAACCCACTGCAAATGCATTGCATTGGAAAAAGCCATCTGCATTGAGCACCCAAGAAGCAGGGGCCACAGTTGAAAGGGCCATACTTGTGATGACCTGGATGCAATAAGCGATTGATGCCTTTTTTTATTCCTGCTGCCATAGGTTGGCAGCCATACAGGGATAAGAGATACCCATTTCCACAGCCAAGCCCAGCTGGTCGCTGTTGCCACAGCACATCCTACAGACAGCAGAAAAAAATATGGCAAACAGAAATCAACACAATACATCCAGCAGATATTCCCCATGATGCAGGAAATCTTCCACCATCAAAATACGCACAACCACCTTGGATGAACACAATACCTGCAGCATTTTACCTGGCTTTGTGGCACATTTCTCAGCTATGGCTGCACGCTGTTCTTGCTTGCAACAAGCTCGAAATGGTCCATCAATCTGGAGCAGACAATTTGCTTGCTTGCTGTTCACTGCAAAGTATCTTGCTTTCTATAGTGGCCCCAGAAGGTTTCTTGTGCTGACAAGAAAAAGAGGCTGCTACAGCACTTGACACATTGGTGTGAGGCCCAACACATGATCAGTACACACCACTCATCAATGTGGCAAACATGACAGCCAATACTTCATACCTCGAAAGTCATTATCTTGGGAACCAGATGAGGAAACGACTCGATGTCCACAACCTCTGTTTTGAGGAGTACCCCGTTCTGCGCTGCAACACGGCATACCTGGAAATAAACACAAGCTGGATCAGCAACACAAGCCACTGGTGGCAGTCAGCAAACACCACAAAACTAAAATGGCTTGCTGCATATGTCAACTCAAAGTGTCCATTTGACTCTCGGCATCAAACACAATTCTGAAGGAAGTTGCAAAAGCATGGTTTTTTCACTCACCCATACTGTGGAACCAGGCCTCAACAATAAGTCTGTCCACCATCTTGCCATTTCAGCAAATGTATACTCTTCCAACATCTCCTTTCTGAAAGCCCACAGGTGCTCCATTTTGGCCCTTACTGATACCCGTCTGCCACTCGGGTCCTGCAGGCAGTCCTGGCACTGCACAACGATATTGGTGTCTCCCAGGCAGCAGTGGCAATAGTGCCTCCAAGCGATGACATCCCCAGATGAGCTCTGTGCACAACAGCATACAGAATTTTTAAAAAAAGTAAATAAAGCAATGCACATGAGCTCCACACAGCCCAAAGGCAACAACATCGGGTTCTGGTGCTGTGAAAAACACCAAAATAAGGCAGCTGCAACACATGTCAACAGGTTGATAGCAACAGCAACACACAGGCAGGCCCATACGAGCAAGGCATGACAACGAACCGGACTTCAGACAACGTGCAGCAAGGGTCGATGCTGCACCTTTGATGGCCTCCAGTTGCCAAAACAAGGACACCACTGAAACCTTCCATATCTACCCTCTCAAGTGACTACCTCCATGCAAACAAATGCGTCAGCAACAGGCTCCAATTCATTCTTACCAGGTTCAACGGGGAAGCCTGGTGACTCTCTGAACCGGCAGGTGCAGAAAGCATCACAAGTGCTCGTTGAAAGTACAATTCATCCTTTTGCCTCGGGTTGAGAGAACGGCCAAGCAGGGGCTCATCCATGTACACACATGCCTGACCGTCAGGCCCCGACTTCACCACAAAAGGTATCTCCCATGAAGCAGCCTGGCCAGATGTAGACAATGCAACCAAGCATCCAAGGGCGGCATCTGACATAACGATGCTGGCATCGATGGCCTCAGCACATGCAATGGCATCTTCATCCTTCATAACACTGAGAAAGCGCAACTTGCTTGAATCGTCGTGTAGCTGAATCCTGGCAGCCTGTACAATCGAAGTCCCTGAGGGCACAGCATGTGCTGTTGGAGCACGCCTTTCTGGTGACAGGTCTGACACATGCCACATGTTTGGTATTGCACCAAGCTTGCATGGGAATGCCAGCGGGAATGTCCAGTTCAGCTTGTAGTATTGTGGGTAATTTCTGACTTGAGCTCGTTTGCAACCCAACACATGCTCCACGCATGACATCACAACAGGGTCGCGTGTCTGGTAAGGATCCATATCGTCCAGGATCAGGTGCTGCTGCAGCAGTGTGTGTGCCTCCTGTTCAATTCTCAACCTCTGCATGAGTTCTGCATCTCCAAAACAGCTGAGATTCTCTGGGTCCAGCAGCATTTTGTGCTCATCCTGGGTAAAAGCGCAGCAGAACACTATCAGAAGCCTGCCATCATGGACCAAGGCAATGACAAAAAAGAGAAAGAGACATTCCTGTGGCCAAACGTGGTTAGCAGTTGCTCTCCACAGTTGGCTCAGCAATGAAATGCATGACACCTAAATATCCACTTGGCAACATTCACAGACTGGTTCCCAGAATCAGTGTCGCCAAGAAAGATGAATAACGAAAATTCTGTCAACACTTCGTACCTCGGTAAGTGACGATTTGAATTGTGTCTTCCGCTTTTTGCTTTTCTGTGCTCCTTCTTTGGCCTTCAACTCTTTGTCAATGTGGTATGACACTGCAGCCAACGGATTGTAGTGAGCACTGCTGGGGTTCAACAGGGAAGCATTTATGCGTGGGCAATTCTGGCTTGGGCCTAAATCCTCCCCTTGCAATCCCATGGTGGGCTCATGGCTTGTGCCAATAGTGCCTGCATGCAATGCCGCAGCCTGGGCCTGCTTCCTCTCAGATGCTTCAAACACAGGTTCCCTACCGTCTGCACCAAGACATGAGGACCTTGCAATGAAACTCAGTGGTCGATCGCCAAAAGGCACACCAGCAGCAATGGCAATGCCCTGCTTGCTGTTCACATGCCCTTGCACATGCTGCGGCAGGTGGATCACTGCCTTGGGCACTCTACAGTCCACCTGCGGCCTTGCAGAGGGGGTCGACCCTGTTTCCATTCTACAGCTTGCCCTGCCCTGCTGTCTTGGAGACGAACTGGTGGCATCACCAGCATGCCTCTTAGATGACTGCACCCTTTCTGGACTGGCTGGCCTGTGCCCATGGTCAAGCGTTCTTGCACCTGCTGTGGTGAGGAAATTTACTTCCCTTTGGGGTGCCATTCGCTTCCCACTCTGGACGCAGCCATCGCCATGGATCACAGTGTTTGGCAAGTCTTGAATGTCAAGCTTCCTCCCCATGGGAGGGACTGGCTGGGCTGATCCACCTGAACGTCGACAGGTGAGTGTGCTATCTACGTTTTTCCCTTCAGTGTGGCCCATAGTCCTCGCAACATCAGCTTCTATGTGACCCTCACAAGTCTGTGCTTTTGTTTCCAGCTCTCCAAGTAGCCAGCACAGCAAATTTGTGCCATCCTCTATCTGTGGGCCATGTGGCAATCGACTGTGTCAGGACCCAGGCGGTGTGTTAAAGGCATGTATGCAGGCCCAGCATGTGTCACCAGTGAAAACAGACCAGAACAACAAATGCTCAAAAAACAACAATCGGACAAAGGTGTCACTCTTCTTGACAGGTCAGCCCCCCACTTTGGTGCAATCACAAAGATGACTCATATAGTATGAATTCATTCAGCCATCTACAGCAGTGCACGAAAATGTCAACACAGTCTCATAACAGACAAACATTCCTTGTCACAAAGCAGGTGGACATGCCTTTGTTGCACTGCAGTGCCTTACCATAAGCTGTTGGTGAGCATGGGTCACTGACTTTTCCTCATAGGCTTCCTCCGTGAACCACCTGATGGGCAAACAATCAGTTGTAGACCTGCGACACGAACAAGCTTACCCCATGACAATGTGCAAAACACAACACGCAGTTTGTGGTCTATTTACCAGATTGACTGGTGAAAGCACGCATGAACCAGCCAGACGAGGCAGCTGCAGCTGCGATGCCCTGGCTACTTACACAGCATCATGTAGCTCCAAGGGTCACGGACACATCAACATTCCTCCAACGAGAACCACACTATTCTAGCACAGCTACATGGCACTGGTGTAGGGCAACAAACGTAGCTGTCATAGTTTCTCGCAGGAATTGACCCATACCTTTACATGTATTCCGAGGATGAGACAGTGGTTGATATTGTGCTCATGTCGATGGAGCAAATCGTTGGAGGTATTGACATTCTGGCTGTGACAGCGACGGCCTGCATCAGTACGCTGCTGCGTTGCTCCTTGAACAATAAACACTGCCAACCATGGCCTCCCTACGCGGGAACCAACAGGACAATGCACATCCTCCGGTTCCGCAGATCAATGGAAACTTCAGGTGCATATACATGAAGAGGTGGTGAACGAATTGGGCAAGCCGCGCGAGACCGGTCGACTGGAGGTGTGCATGCACTCCAATTAATGGACTGTTGGTGGGTTCGGTTCACCTGTCGGTCGGCAATTGCAATTCCTGAGAGCAGCGGCTGATCGGACTTGCGGCGGACCGTCCGCCTTGCGCAGTCCCCACGACGTTCAGCAAGAAGGGTTCCACCAGGGCGGGCCTGCAGAGTACCAATTGCGTCAGCATCAAGGGCGCGATCCGTTCCTGCGCAGCGGACAGCGCTGCCCCCCCCCCCGGCTGATTCTGGTCAGGTTTGTTTCCATGTCGCCTTACTTTTCGGCCTCCACAAACTTGTGTAGGCCGGGAATCTGGCTGGTGTCCGGCCTCCTGCTCGCGTTTCGAGCCATGAGCACGGCGAGGCTGGCGCCCGCAGCCTTTTAAACGCGCCCCGTGCTTGAGCCTGCGGAAGCATCCGTGGGCGACGACCCACTGGACTCCCTTCTTCCCCGACCCGGTACTGCCGAGGCAGCTTCAAGGCATGCTCTGCCAGAAGGGGGACAGCAACAACTTGGCCTCGTCTTCTGCCCTTCTTCGAGACTTTTTGGAGCTCCATTTTAGGGGTGGTACTGCACTTTGTGGTGGAAGGTTGTGACAACTGCGCGATGGCTAATGGCTGATGTGTAACGTGCAACTGCATTGGGCCCCTCGGCCCAACGGGGGTTGTGGACATGGTGGCAGTCGGGACCAGCATCTCCCCATCACCCGCCCTGCGAACGCCCAGGGCGTGGGGAGGCCGCCATGCTCGGGCGCCTGCGCAGCCCTCCTGGGCTGCACAGCGGCCGACCGGCGATCTACGGCTGCGTTCACCAGCCGAAGGTGCAGCGAATGGGCGGCTTTGCGCTAAGGGGCTGCTCGCGTGGTCAGGACAGGAATGATGGCTGGCCCCTCAAACTATTTCCCTTGTCGTGTGTGCCGATCGCTGCCTTCACTTGCACAGAGATGAGCCCAGGTTTGCCGGCAAGGATTGTGTGGCCAATCGCCATTGAAACATTGTATAGGAAGGTGTATCCTTGTCGTAACTGGGTAGCTGGTAGTAATGGTGTTCTGCTGCAAGAGGGCTCAGGGGTGTGTGTGACGTGGATCAATTGTCCGCAACCCTTTGGCTTGTTGGGGCGCCGGGGCGACTGTCTTGTGAGGTTGTATTCTCGAGCCGGTGGGGCCACAGAAAGCGCCCATATGGCGCCAAGCTGATCATTCGCGTTGTGCTGATGCACAGTGCCCCCCAAGGCCTTCGTCAACCGTCAACGACGCAGTGTCGAGCGCCAGAGCGGCGTCGCCGTCGTCAGACTTGTTTAAGTGGCTGCAGGTGGGTGGCACTCGCAGGCGCAGTTAGTCCATCCCCCCTGCATTTGGAAGATGGACTTCGATTATTTCTGGCAACTCTAAGTCTACCTGCTGGATTTGGTGTTGCCTGGTATTCCATCATCTTGCAAACAGCAGGGCAATTAGCCCTTCATCATGCCTGCTTGCAGAATCGTCACAGAGGTTGAACTTCACTCCTTGGCTCCACGATGCATCTCATTGTACTCATCATTTCCATTTATTAATCAAAGGAACCATGCCCATTGGCGTGGCCTTGTGAGAGCAAGTACAGCAGCAACTCAGCACATTGCTTTGTGTTGTCTGCAGGAGGCAGGGACGCCCGTCGAAAATATTGACATTCAGAGTGTCCGTATTGGTGGGAAGGACATTGACAAGATTGTTGCAGCCAGGCCAATATCTGCTGGGGAGTTGGCCATAAGTGTGCCAGAGCGCATGGTGGTAACCCTTGACGCAGTGTTCGAAGATGAAGCAATTGGTGCGTTGGTGTTGTGGACAGTAGAGGGATGTTTCACTTTGGCCCAGTTTGTCTAAACTAACTGGAACATCCCCCAATTGCCTTCAGAAAAAAATGCCGTTTAGCTCCCTCCATGCATACAGAATACAAGTTGAGACTGTGGAGGAATGTACCAAGCTGCGAATGCTGGCAGTTCAATTGACATTATTGGCCTTGATCCAATTGCAAACACTTTTGCATGCACTGTGCACTGGTGGCCACAATCGTTTCCACATGTCAGGCAATGAAGATGTGCTCATTCACTGATCATCAATAGGACTTGGTGATAGGGTGGCATTTAGCAAGGGGGCTGCCCATAGTATTGCTTGCAGTAGCAAGGTGCCTGTGATCACAAATACGAGACAATTAATGACTGAAATTATGCTTCCCTGTGACAATATTGTATGACAACAGAACACCTGTTGGCCTTTTACTGAAATTTGATAAGATCATTTGAAGTGCCTCCATTGAGTTGCACCCACTGTGTTAGGGGATACATGTGAAACTGCTTAGACACCATTTGTTAAATGTTGTCAACGTATCCTTAGCACAGTTGAGCGTCATTATCTACCGATGCATGGCATCATGTTGTGATCCTGACTCACGTGCCTGTGCCTTGTCTCAGCTGAATTGCTCACAACAAACAAACTGTCAGAGCTTGCTTGCTTGACTCTGTACCTTATGTACGAGAAGAAGGAAGGAAAACAGAGCTTTTGGTATCCTTACATAAAGGAGCTTGACAGGTTGAGAGCAAGGGGACAGTCGGGTGTCGAGAGCCCAATCCTCTGGCCACAAGAAGAGGTGAATTTCTATGGCAACTAGTGCTACTTCCGTTTCATTCACAGCTGTCTTGTTGTAGTTGACAGCCTGGCTGGCAAGATGAGCCCCCAACTGTGTTCTTGACAGTGTTAGTCGCTGTTTCTGTTGTGGCATGTCTTGTGGCCCAACACCCTGTCAAGTGACCTGGCTCTTGTCACTGGATGTGTGTAGTGGCATTGGTACAGGGTTCCGCTGTGCTTCAAGCCCGGTCCTGCAAGGCCACAAGTGTCTGCCACCATTGTGCAATGTGCTTATTTTGAATGGCTTTCCATAGGGTGGTGGTGTTGGTCTTGTTGATCATAGATTTAGGCAAGCAGTCATTTGTTACTTGTCCCTCTGCCCTCTTGTTTCTTTGGCGCATGGAATGCAGGCCCTACAATGCAGGCTAGTCTAGTATGTGTGTATGTGACCCTGCAATGCAACGTGTGGCCAGGCAGAGCGATTGCTGGCTGGGAGCACCGTCCTCGAAGCTGTGATGGAGCGTAAAGCTGGAATCCTTGATGAATACCAAGAATGTGACACAGTGTGGTATCTGGCTGGCAGGCAAGTCATTTCCGTACATACGTGTGGCCCCTGGGGAGCATTGGTTTTGCAGATATATCTCACTGACATTTGTACTGCACAAATTATGTGTTCTTTGTTCCTTCTGTTTCCAAACAACTTCTGCTTGCTCTTGGCTGCAACCAGCACATTATGGTTAGGAGGTTGTAAAAGGTATGCACATTGGGAAATGGTCAGTTGATGGAAGGGCAGGCAGGGTGGCCTGTATCCAGCTTGTGTCCAGTGACATTCACACTTGTGGTGGAATCAACTTGCAAGATGATCTTTTGCTGCTTGTTCACCATGGCTGGACATGGTGCCCAGGGACTAGATACGCACCATATGAATGCTGTCACAGCAGACAAGTGGTACCTGCTGCTTGTCAGGTGCTATGAGCGCGGAGCCCAAATTGGGCCCAGTGCATGATCTTGGTGTGCTTGTGTGCTGCAGCTTATTCAACAAGTACCCATATGACATTCCAACAGAGGCCTTCAGCTCAAAACTCTTCCTCCAGGCATTTGCAGCCATACAAGCTTGTGTTGTGCATCTGCAAAATGTTCCCCCCTCCAAGCGCTTTGCAATTGTTCCTCTTGGACCTCCGCTGCTTTCATATGCCTCAAAAAGCAAGGTGAGGAGACTGCTGCAA